CAAACACCCAACATGGAATAACGGGGTTGGAAATAGATCTTGGAGGTCTTCTAGTCTAGCCCCCTGCTCAGGCAGGAGACAACCATTTCAGATGGGTAGCTGTCCAGTCTCTTCTTAAAAACCTCCAGCAATGAACCAAAGGTGCTTTTTCAAGAGGCAACTGGGCTTTCTGTTTTTTCTTTGAAGACCTTTTGCTTCTCATCCAAAAAGCTTCTCCAGCTCTTGACTGGATGGTGGGGAATGGAAGGATTGATACCCCTTGCAGACAGCTGAAGAAGCTTCTTGGATGAGAAGCGACACATCTTCAAAGAAAAAAAAATCCTGTTGCCTCCTGAAAAAAGCACCTTTGGGACAACCATGACGTGGATGACTGAGAATCTCCATAAATGGAGCGCCCACAATTTCTGAAGGCAAGCTTTTCCATTGGTTAATTATCCTCACTATTCAGAAGTTTCTCCTTAATTCCAGGTTGCTTCTGTCCTTGATGAGTTTCCATCCGTTGTTTCTTGTCTTGCCTTCTGGTGCTTTGGAAAATAAGTTGACCCCCTCTTCTTTGGGGCAGTCCCTCAAATACTGGAAGATTGCTATCATGTCATCCCCTAATTCTTCTTTTCTTTAGACTAGCCAAACCCAAATCCTGCAGCCGTTCTTCATATGTTTTAGTCTCCAGGCCTTTAATCAAGGATTAATTTATTAGATTTTTTAAAATCCCGCTTTCATTATTTTTATAAATAACTCAAGGCAACAAACATATATGTGGGACTGTGGTGAGGAAGAAACTCAGTGTCCTGTCCCACTCACACATGCACCTACCACAAGGGTTTGAAGTCGTTGTTAAGGCTTCACCAGCCCCCAGTAGTATTCCTAAGGATTTTCCACACAGGGACCAGAGCAAGACCCGATTTTCCCACATCAGGAAAACCCAGAGTTAATCCAGCAAAGACAAGTCCGTGGTCCAAAACACAAATCCCATAAGCCAAAATCCGATTCCGATGTCCACAAGACAAAGTCCAAACTCCAGAAACAGAGTCAAGGCGAAGTTTCAAGGCAAGGTACATAGTGGTTGAACTAACACGCAATCTGAAATGGAAGAATCGTTTTGCTCGGCATGCAAAGATAAACAGCTGCTGGCCATGCCAACCCATTGGAAGGAACAAGGCTGCCTCCTCATGAGTAACCTCGCTGACTTCAGTTGAGTCAGCAGGTCCTAACGAAAAGAAGGACCATGATTGCACTTTTCCAATATTTGAGGTGCTCCTACAAAGACGAGGGGAAGATCAAACTATTTTCCAAAGCACCAAAAGGCAAGACAAGAAACAATGGATGTAAATTAATCAAGGAAAGACGCACCTAGAATGAAGGAGAAATTTCCTAAGGGCAAGAGCAATTAGCCGATGAAATAGCTTTCCTTCAAAAGTTGTAGGTGCTCCATCACAGGAGGCTTTCAAAAAGAGGTTGGACAGCTATTTGTCTGAAACGATAGGGTCTCCTGCTCAAGCAGAGAGTTGGACTAGAAGACCTCCAAGGTCCCTTCCCAACTCTATTATTCTATGTTCTATGCAGGCCCTAAGGCCCTCATCCCTGCTCATCAGTTGCAGCTGTACTCCTTCTCCACCCTCTGTTTCTGGCTGCCCTTCCAAACTTCTTGTTTGCAACTGTGTTCTTTTTCCCTGTTTTCAGCCAGCTGCTCGTCCGATCACTCCTCAAGGGCTTCTGAAGTTCCTGGTTTGTCTTCCTCTTCTTGCCCAGCCCCTCCTGGTTCAGAATCCCCCATACCTTCCAGATGCTCCTCTCACAAGTTCCTCATCATCTGAGCCCACTTCAGAGACACCCATAACACTCAAGACTGTCCCATCTTGATGCTCTTTATGATCATAGGATAGGAGGTGACCTTAGAAGTCATTTAATTCAACCCCCCAGCCTGGTGCAGCAATCTGTTGTGGCCCGCCAGCAGCTCCCAGCCAGCAGCCAGTGGAGCTGGCAGCAGATTCGGACAGTGAGGAGGTTGGAGAGGAGACCTGGGCCAATCCTGAAGTCTGGGGAAGGCTCTGATGAGGGCTCTGTGTCGGAGGCAGAGAGGGGGCCAGGGCCGTCTGACAGTTATCAGCTGCCTT